TAAACTATAAGAACGTTTAGGTCAAATATTATGGCGGTAAGATACGACTGCCTCGCAATGATGTTGCCATTTTTTAAAATAAACTTTGCGATATTTGTAGGTACTAATTTAACAGGTAGGTAGTTTTCTAGTAACCGTCTAGTTTTTGGCACATGTAGCAGAAACCATCACATATTGTTATGCAGCTGGCACTTTGTGACGTAACTTGTTATGCAAAGAGACAATGAGATATAAAAAACAAAATGAAAGAAGTTTACAATTCTCTGTAATACCAATTAGAGTGCAGCTCTTGAGGGCAAGGAGGGGAGGGTACAGAGAGGAGGGTAGGCCCCTCCTCCCCCTCCCCTTTTCTCCTGCTCCCCTCCCATTTAGCATTAATTTTTCACTAAAATTTCTGCTGAATGTTGCGGAAAATTTACCAACATTTGCCTGCTAAAATCAGTGGGAAATATAGCAAAAATTTCCCCTCTAAATTTAGCTGGGAAACTGAATGGTGTTGAGGTAACTTGACGTCTATTTCCCCGCTAAATTTAGTGGGGAAATTTTTCTGCTAAATTTAATGTGATGGCATTAGGGTAAAAGTTTCCCGCTAAATTTGGCGGAAAATGTTTTCCGCTAAACTTAGCGGGGAAGTTTTCCCGCTAAATTTATCGGAAACATTTTCCGGGATTGAGTAGCGTCAAGTGTGACGTCATTATGGGAAACGTCCCATAACGCAACGCTCAATTACGCCGACGGCGACACCGCTCAGCCTGGAAACTGGTGCGTAAGAGCTAGGCTCTAAAATAATTCTGGTTTATTTATAAATTCTAAGCTTTTTCCAACCTGGTTTCTTTGTTATTGCAGCTTTCAACCTGGTTTATATACAGATTCCATACCTTAAATGCTGTAAGCATCATTTTTTTTTGCTGCTATTATTAGTAGTGACTAATCTGCTGGCCTAGGCTGCTTGTTAAGCAAAATCACTCCGATCGTCCTTTTCTGCCACCAAAACCGCACGGAAAGGATGGAAAAACAAAAATGACAAGCAGCAGTATACGAAACCATGTGTCACAGTTGAAAACAAAGGGAAAAGTTGCGACAGGTTTGGACAAAAGACGGACAAATTTCTAAATTGCACACTCTCGCTACATACAACCTAAAAAAAAATAAATTATAAAACAATTTTGCCATGTTTTGCGGTGGTCTGCGAGAAAGTGTTCAGGAAAAGCACCCCTCAGGGGACCCTCTTCACCCGTAATGGGCATGCAAGCACTCATACGTACAGATCGTTTACGCCGGAAAGGGTGCGCATTGTGTAGGCAGGCGCATGTTTGTGCATTTTGATGTGGAGAAGCGATGGTATGAAGGCGGCGCCGCCGGGGACAAAAAGGAATGCCGCACCACTGGCCCTCTGGAAGAGCATTCACTGCACACACACCAAACCATACAAAAATATGCACGCACACATTTATGCTTCAGCATCTGTCTCTGACCTACTGTGGTTCCTCTCTCAATCCCCCAAACATGGTTCCAAAAAACATTTTGCTAAAAAAAGAATAATGGCTGGCTAGGTCTCCTTTGGCCCACCTTGTAGACTTGAATGCAAGGTCCGTACCCAGCCTAGGCCCTTCGTGAATGTAACTGTGAGGCTTGTACCAGTGCAGATCTTTACATGGGGCGCTGACGGCACGCCACTTTGTTATGACTGGGCGGACATCACCACCTCGTGGCAAGTGACGGTGCTAGTGCAATTACACTCATACTGCAGGGGAGGAAGTAGAATAAAACAACCGGAAAAGCCTTCGCGCGTGCGGGCTGCGGGATCTTGGAGGTTGTGGGTCAAGTAGAGTAGTTGCAAGCAGCTAGGCTAAATGGCGCTAAAAACCGGCCGTTTCATTGGCTACATAAATATTATTATTTGCTCACGCCACCATTGTTCTCAGGCACTTTTATTGCCTTTGTTCTCAAATCTAGATACATTATGCATTAGATACAATCATCAGCTGAACATATACAGCGAGGACATAAACATACACGGCACATACAACCATCAATACAGCAGTACACTAACCCGATCACTACTTAGGAGGTCTGCATTTCCGCCTTTTATACTCGTCGGTTTGAAAGTACGGATTTTCTCGGTGACTACCTACGCAATACATAATATTCCCAGCTTGTTGATTTTTTTCAGTAATGTCATACCTCTGAAAGTATTTTGAACGGCTCAGAGGATGAATCTCTTAGTAAAAAGTAAACACTCATGCCGTGATTATTTGAAAGCCAATAAATCAAACCGCTCCAATGCAGTTCCAAGCCATGTGTTTGCTTCCCCGCACGGCACGTTGTAGCCAGCTTTTCTATCGTAGTACTATTTGTTCTCCTATTTGTGCTGTTCACGTGCAGCTGCAATTGTCGTCTCGAATTAATCTCTGTAGAGCGGATATTCACTCAGCTGGAAGCGATGCTTCACGGGCAGAGAAATCGCTTTTCGATCAACATGAATGCATTCAAAGCCGCGACTTGCGGCAGGTGTTAAGTGTAAGGACCTATGCCGTGGTGAGCACGAAAACTTCTAGCGCTCATCTCAGCGCCCCAGCTAAAAATTCCTACTAGATCCAATTGGAATTCCAACTGGTTTTAAATGGAACCAATTGGTTCTAGTGGGTTCCAACTGGAAGCACATTGGCCAAAAAGTCTCGCCAATTGAAATTATTTTTCCATTTGGATCCTGAATGGGCTCCAAATGATTCCCGTTGGTTTCCATTGGCAGTGACCAATTGGTTGCCCAAAAACCTAATTGGTAAGAATGGGAAAATTCCAATTGAAATCTAATGGAAATTTTCAACTGGGGTGTCACTTAGAGGGCAGTTTCTCCAGGAACCATTGTATATTTAAGCAGCAAAACAGAGGATAGCTTTTTTTGTTGATTTACCATCCTCCCTTAGTGCCCAAATTGCAAACTGTAAATACGCATACTTTCCGTCATACTTTAAGACTATTAAGTCTTTTACCCACAGTGCAATCTTACTCGGGGTAAAGACTACAGTTCCATTGGCCACTGTACGATAGGAGCTGGTTCAGACCAGCGTCCCAACATGACTATATCCGCAGGTCGATCGATTGCACCTCATCCCTTAAGTGGTCTTAAACCCTTTAATGTAAAGCGGAATGTCAACCTGCGACACACCGCCCCCTCCGATCACGGCCCGACCAGCGGCATCCATGCCCGACAGTTTACGTCATCTCATCTTGTTGTTACACCTTTGATACACGAACACATAATCACATCAGCGATAATTCCCGTATTCCACCAGCTGGCGTGGGAAACTTTAATTGGTTGTTCTCAAAAAGAGCCCTATATTTGGTTATTTTCTGAAAGTTTAATTTCTAAATAAAAATAAAAAGGAGCAGGTTAAAATCAGGGAATGTTTCGAATCATGCGAATGCACTTAATGTAGGGATGTGCAAATATTTGTTTGAATCAAGTATCCCTCCATCATTCATACATAGCCTTTACAGTACAAGGTAAAACCATGACAACTGGTTCTCAGTTTTGAAATTAGGGATGACACTGCACTATTTGATTCAAACAACACACACCCCTAAAATATTGAAAATATCTGACTCCTTTTTAAGTGTCCCATACATTTATGTTTTCATTTTCGTACCAATAGCTCGAGGTGGCCTCGATATTTTTTCATATTATATAAATTCAAAGTGACTCTTGCACCACATTACGAAACATGTCTCGGGGAGAAATATCGTAGAGGCACTTGAGAGATATAATGTTACCTCATTACTCATTATTATCATTATCGTTGTACGAATGTTATAAATGAATGATCATCAGGTGTGGCACCACAGGCCTTTATAATGTGGGCTACTTGCCTTTCCTAGGGTGCCTTCATGTGCGCTTTGCCTAGGGTGGAGACATCTTGCCATTTTGTTCCCCTCTTTTATTTTTATTTTTTGTTCAGAAGCGCGTGAAAGGGCGTGCCCCTGCACGCGTGTGTGGCGCTGACTGTGCTATGGCGACATTTTGTTTTCGTCGATTTCTTTGTATTTTCCCCGTGAGCGCGTGCTGTCGGCATCGGTTACTACAAAGGGTGGCATCACTCTACACAGAAGGACATTGAGGCACCCTAGCCTTTCCGTGGTGCTGTGGCTCTCCTGAGCCAAAATAAAATATAGTGCTAGGAAAGGACGATCATGCGCCCATGTCGCAATAAGTGCCTACCCCCTGCTTTTGAAACATTTAAAATATATATGGAAAGAACATCTCAAAGTGCCTACCCCATTAACTTGGAAGCCCACCAAGGTAAACCGAGGTGCTCCTGCGTGGAAGCCCCCTTTCTGAGAAGCCTTTGCAAAGCGGTGAAGCTTTACGCGCGTGCATCGGTGCAAAATGGTAAATGACGGTGCAGGAGGGTCGGTGCCAAGTAGGCCTGACAAGAACGGCGCAGCTGCTTCAACAATTAAGGGCACGCCCATACTGCTCCTATGCCTTTCTGTCAACAACATTGTCTCGGGGGACTTGGCCATGCACACCCGTGCAACTACAGAACCACAACATTGGAAAAGGCAATTAAAATACGTCGTAAAACAGATGCAGACAACACAAAGAACCGGTTAGAAGCCTCATAGAGTTCACAATTTCTAAAGTTAAGACACTCAATACACATACTCAATCTTCCAATTTTCACAAAAGACTGCTCCCCTGTTATTCCCATTTCCTACGCAAATAAAAGAACCCATCGTATGTTTTATTTTCAGATTTGTGATTTTGTGAATGACAGAGTATGTTAATAATGGTTTATGCACAATGCATGCATCTTTGTGAGCTAATAAAGCGAGCATTTGTCAAGGCGTCTTAGAATGCAGAGTAGGCACCAGGTGCGGACCGTAGTCTGGAAAATACCATAATAGCTTCCGATACGTACCCGAAAAGTTGATCTGCGGTCTGCATAGTTTGTTCTCGAACGTCGTCTAACTGGACACGTGGACGCATGCTCGCAGCTGGAGGTGGACGTGGAGTGCTGCGAGGTTGGCAGTGGGACGTCCCCGTCGTCTGCGGCGGGCTGCAGCGGCGGGTCGGGTGCCCCGGGCGGCCAGCAGCGCAGCGCCTTCCTGGACATGGTGCGCCAGTCGACGGCTGCCTGCCAGGCCGGCGACTTTGCCAGCGCCGTGCAGCTCTACACGGACGCGCTGGCCCTGGACCCGGCCAACCACGTGCTCTTCAGCAACCGTTCGGCCGCCCACGTCCGCCTTGGCAAGTACGGCCATGCGCTGCAGGACGCCGTCAAGGCCCGCGAGCTCAACCCCAGATGGGCCAAGGTACGTGGCCGAGTGTGATCTTGTCCATGGTTACGCAGCGATTTACGCGGGGATGTGTACCGAGTGCGGCTGGTGTAGAAGTGTAGGTAAGTTGAGCGAGCCTATAGCCTGTTAGAGGTCGAACGGGACATCGCACGAGGCTTGCTGCTCAATATAGTTAGTAATTTCCTCCCTATGAATTGAAAATAAAAGAAAATGGGCTCGCATTGCAAGCAAGAAGGTACTTGTAAATTGAAATTCAGGCAGAGTGCCCTGGCAGCAGCGCTGCGTTACCTGCACGAGCCTGCACCTGTGCGGAAAAGTGTGCCTGAGAACAGTGCGGGGCATTGTACTTCCGGTATGTTTTTTAAGGTAGGCTGCACTCGTAATTTGAACGCGGCGGTGTAGTGTGTCTGGTTCAGGAGGTGTAGGTGAATCAGAAATGCCTGTACCGTAAAATACCGGGCAAGCGCCCACTCACACTTTGGAGATAATCGCAAAAAATGGAGGATGGACGCTTGACCAGTCATCAATTTTACATATAGATGTATGGTACGTATTTTCTCAGATCTTAGAAATTTGGTAATGGGCGCTTAATGTGGAATGGGCGGATGCCCGGTATTTTACGGTAATCTGTTACAGGTTAAGGATAGCGGGCCAGGCCCCTCCCACAAAGCTCTGCTTGCTATGATTGGTGGTTTTCTCCTCTCAAGTGTTCACTCTGACAAAGTGGAAAGAGGCTTTATGGGAGGAGCTTGTCTCGCTATTCTTAACCAAACTATAGCAGAGACTCTGACTATATTTGGTCGTTTTTACTGGTACATTATGCACTTGAAGCATGCTTGATCTATGAGCAATGTACTGAATGATACGTGTGTACACTGCGCAACACTGTTAGTGCACACGACGTCGGCACCCTTCTGCATTATACGTCGAAATGGTTCTGGCAGGCACAAAAGTCTACTGCATAGGTTAGTGCCTTGAATGAACATTTTCCTAGGACTTTCTGTGACAGACTTTAGGTTCTAAGAGAACAGCAGAGAAAGCCTGCAGTCTCTTGTTTGTGCTAGCGGTGTCGTGCTCTATGGGGCACAAACGAAACACGAACAACAGAGTGTTCAGCCTTCGATACATGCTGTGCTACCTGGAGGCCACCAGAAAAAAGAGGCCGCATCTCCACGTGGTGAATGATGTTGATTGGGGCGAAGCTCTGGTGGTGCTGATGATACTGGTTTTATTCTTCATAGGTATATAGTGCTGATGGTGCGTTTTTTTTTTTATTGCTCATAGGTAGTGCTGAGTTCCGGGTTGCGTTTCGACTTCATTGTTACTGCTTTATGGTCGGTGAAATGCAGAGCCAGTGGTTCTTCGAGCGGATCAGCTTGGATCCGTTAGAAGCCGTGGGAACGCATTTCCACCGCTTAAGTCAACGGTCCATGTCAGAAAGAGAATGTGTGGTATGGATCGTGGTTATATACGAAGTTGAGCATTTGACCGCAGCGCCCTCTCGTCTATAAACGTTGAGCCAATGCATGCAAAGTTTAACGCGATTATATACGCATTTGACCGCAGCGCCCTCTCCTGTATAGACGTTGAGTGGCTACATGCAACGTTGGAGTGTAGCGTAGTGGTTAAGACGTCTGCCTCGTAAACAAGCAATCCTGAGTTTGAACCCCCGTGTGGGCGTACATTTTTTTAAAAAAGTGGGCCGATCCCGGAGGCAGTGCAATCGATGTGAGCACGGACGCCGGACGGATGGACAAAGCTAGACCCTAAAGAGCTTCACCCCTAAAACTGCGGAGTGGGGCTGCAAGGGCGTCCTACGTAGGATGCATGCCCTCACCCTCTCCACTCCGCACTTGTGTCCATGCATGTAAAGCTCCAGAAGGTGTTTCGGTTCCAGGAACAACTGGACAAAACAAGAACCTTTCATGTTAAATGTATGCGCTCTTATGTTTTGCTTTGGTGTACTAGAATAGCTTCGTTCGATTTACCTGGACCTCTTGCACCGGTGCAGAAAAGTGTAGGGCAGTCTACTTCCGGTATGTGTATTGAGATCCGACCGGAAGTACACTGCCCTGCACTTCTCTGCACCGGTGCAGGAGGTGCAGGTATCGAATGAAGCTACTGTGTACTCTTGCAGAATTTTTTTTTTATTACTTAATTGAGCTGTTAAATTTGGGAGCTGCTTGCATAGCAAGTCATAAAATTTAGCAGAGTGCCCAGGTGGCAGCTTTACGAGGCAGAATGCTTCATCTATTCCTTATGCCCTTGTTGTGCTCAGCTTTTCTACATCTGTTTCACGAATGCCACAGTTGACCAGCGAGCACCTTTCTTCAGAACCTGACATTGAAGGCTTTCTGATTGATTGGTAGTGGCTTCTGACCAGGCACATAGCCAGGGGGGGGGGGGGCATGGGGCTTGGGCGGCCCGGGCCCCCCCTGAAATCTTCCATTTTGCCTCTTCTCCCCCCTCCCCCTCATACAGCATTTTGTCATGGGCGGGCCCCTCCCGAACCAAAATCCGGGCTACGTGCCTGCCTCTGACGAAAGTAAAAGCCACCAGTGTGGTGTACCTCTCCCTCAGTTTCCCATCGACAATGCATGACTGCACTAACTTCTTGTCATTCCTCTGGCTACGAGTAAAGGCCCGTTACACATGCTCATTATCCGACAATCCGTGTTCATAGCACAGAAGCCTGCTTTCATGGGACAAATTTTGCAGCAAACTTGGGTCCAGAGTCCATACTGAAAGCAGAATGGGAGCATCTGACAGAATTCTGAGAGAGATAAATGTTAAAAAGAAAAGATCAATCCCTTGTGTCAAAACAGTGAGTACAGAATGCACACCTTTTAACACGCAACGAGCGACACATAATGTAAAAGAGCCGACAACATGGAGTGTTTCCGATGGTGTCCAGAACACTGATTAGTGCTTCAGTTTCTAATAACTGCTTACAGTGATTGCACCAAATGAATGAGGGACTGCTCATTCTGCATCACCCTGCAAGATGCAGTGACCTGGCAATATTGTGTGGCGGCCGTTTTAGCGTGCATAGGTTCTCCGAGCGCTGCGTTGCGTTGCCTAGAGTCAGTAAATAAGCTTAGAGTACCGACACTCCATTCTCCGACTCTCTGCTGGGTGCCATCCATAGCGCAGACTGGGCACAATCGGTCATTATCACGGTTAAAAAGATGCCGGGATTTTTTTATACGATGTCAACTAGGAAGCTCGAGCGATATCGTGTTTCTCTGTCGCAGACTGGTTTAACATTTCTGGAGGACATATCGGGTGAAAGTCAATATACTTGCAGCTGGGTTATCGAACTGAACGAGACAATCCCGCTGGATCCAGCTAAAACCGTTTCCATACTCCAGCTGAAACCGGATTGATTAGCAGCTAAGGTGTTTCCCACAATCTCAGGTAAAGCTGCAGTTAACTGGCTACAACAATCTTAAGTTGGTTCAAGTGTCATTACTGTGAAGCGCACCAGCCTGTTTAGTGACTTGCCGATGGAAGGGGCGGGTTGAGTGAGCGACTGCCCTCGTCTCTGCAGGCCTACTACAGGCAGGGAGTCGCCCTCCAGTGCCTGGGCAGGCACGCAGATGCCCTCGCTGCATTTGCCTCGGGCCTCAACCAAGACTCCAAGTCGGTTCAGCTCTTGGCTGGCCTTGTTGAGGCCGCCATGAAATCCCCGCTCAGAGGTATGCCTTTGTATCGTTCAGCTTTAGTTCAGCTCCAGGAGGGAGCTAGAACCTGTGCACGCCATTCTCAACAGACTGAGATCCTGAAATTGATAAGGGATTAGACCTTATGCATCACGTCAAATGTGCCAAGCTGAGAAATGGTTTCTGTATTGTCTTTTTCTGCTATGATGGGTTCATCGTTCACATCCAATCTCTTTGTGATGTGCCTCTATTTTCCGAACAACCTATTGCTGATGTTGCCCATCTTTTTTCGAAAACATCTTCCTCGATTTATTATGTGTTTGTGATAAATGTCATAGAAAATAGCTTAAGAAAACATACAATGGGAAATTGGATTTCAAAATGCTCTTATCATTACGTGGGTACATGGCCTGGGGTGATCAACTTTTGAACCGTTTCCTCAAATTTATTCAAACCTTCTCGGTGAGTTAAATGCCACGAGGAATGATGACATTTGAAGTTTGAGTCTTGTAGGCCAATTAGAAAAAAATAATTTAATTAGGAAATGATTGAAAAAAAAAAATCGCAATCCACAAAATATTTTTTTTAATGTGAAGTAGAATGCCCACAGTGAAAGTTAAGGTGAAAACTAATTGTAGAAAATGCAATACTAAAGAAAAACAATAACACTCAGAAAGAACAAATTATTTTAACAAATTTTTGTGTTTTAAATTATTGAGTTTTCGTCATGAAGTAGTTAGCTTTTTCAAATTATGAGTAGCTTAAAGGGGTTACAACGCACCAAAACTAAAATATGAGATAACTATACTGCTAGAAACCGTTGTATGTTCCTATATTTCTGGTAAATTTATTTTAAAAAATTGCACTGTAGTTTTACGGATTTATATGCTGGACCCTCGGATCCGCCCCACTCGAAAGAGACTCCGTGGCTGTTGGGTTGGTGACATCGCCTTCCCAATGAGCGCCAACCCCTTGCACGCACTCGGAGACTGGACTCTCTTGGTGTCTCGAGCTTCAGCTGCCTCGTTTACGTCACGCGTTCAAAGCAAGCAGTTTGCAATGATTACGTCTATGTCATTGCTCGCTTTGTTGAAGTCTTTGACACTGATCGCAGAAGCGATGAGAGTGATTGTTATCGAGAAATGCCGGAAGCTGGTAATTTCGACTGCAACCTGCTGGCGACTCGCTCCAGTGACGACGAGTCACAAACGAACTCGCCGTAGTCGTTGTCGTCCGTGACAATCTCGCAGGTGCATGCGGGGTGGAAGGTCAAAGGGCCGGGGTCGAGGGTGTGGATAGCTTATGAGTATACCGAGTTGCGTGAGCGGTTTTGATCGTACCGTGGCAAGGTGAGCTTGGGCGGTCACGGGGGCACCTAGAATGAGAGAGCATTTATGATCACGTGGTATGTGGGCACCATGCTGGTTGGATGGATGGATGCTCATGGCTGTATCCTTTATAACGGCCTAGAAATTAAGAACCAAAAGTATGATTTCTTTCCTACACTAATTCGCTTATCCTCTGCAATTTCTTAACTATGTACATATCACCAATTGGGTGTGGGATATCACCAGGATGACGTTTGAATTGGGCAAAAAAACTAAAAACATCACCCCCCGCCTCTTCGCCCAGGCGAGGGAATCGGCAATTTTCCTCTGGTCAAATCTTGTATGCGTCACACCAGCACCGGGACCACTGGGAGTCAGCATTGAGTCTGGGCCGGAGCCACGCGGAAAGGAGTCCCAATTTTTTTCTGCCTTGGCTGTCCCCAGCTGTATGTCATTCGATTCTCCCTTGATAATTTCCACCAGTCTTCTAATCTCCTCCTGGTTATTAAAATGCACTTATCCTCCATTCTCGTCTGCAAACCCCAGTGCTCCGGCTAAATGTGTTGCCCCTTCCGGGAGGGTGGGAGCAAGCCCTGTGCACCTTAACACCACCTATTGTCTCGTCTTCCCCTTGGCACACAGCACATCCATTTCCTCATACTTACCGTAAAGTTCTGAGAGAACGCCCTCCCCCGAGAGATCGCCTATCCCGTTTTTCTGGCTAGATATCTGTAACATAAAAATACAGAAACATCGCCCGCTCCCCGATTCCTGTCGGACGTCACGCGATGTTCTACGGGAATCGTATCAACCGCGCAATTTGCTGTACCAGCACGTCTGACAAGCGAGTTCGTTTTGGTCCGCGATCTGTGCGCGTGTTATTGGTTCCCGTGACACACAAGTTTGTAGCGGGTTCCCGCGTGTTTATTGCACCATAAAACTTGAACCTGCTGCGTCCACGATACGCAGTAATCGTTCCTGTGAGATGATAGTCCTCGGCAGTTTTCCCCGGGTCCTTCGCATCGTGAAACGCGAATCTGCTGCGACCGCAGCCTGCAGTTTCCTTTCCCATGACACAGGAGCTCATAGCGAATTCCCGCTTGTTTATCGCATTGTGAAATGGGAATTTGCGGTGTCCGCAATCTGCGGTATCAGTTCCCACGTCACGTGGTTTGTGGCCGGTGCCAGGGTGTTTATCATTAATTTTTCATAAAGTTTTACTGTGGCAGCCTCAAAGATAGCCCCTCCATGTTTTTCACTATTTATCTTTCCATTAGGGGTGGGTGTTCTTTCGGATATTTACGGCAGTCCTATGTGTCATAGTCCTCAATACACCTGTTCTAGCCTCAAGTAACAGCGAGTTCCCCCGTGAATTATCATACCAATGTTCTTTCCTTATTTCCTGCGTCTGTCCCCTACCATAGTTAAAGCTGATTTCCCCTGCATTCTTTCCTCCCACATTTTTCTCTCAGCTTCTTTTACTTCCCTTTTTACAGAGGTAGTATGCTCTGCTTTACCACTTGTGTTACTTTAGTAATTGAATTTCATTTTCCAGGTTCGGTTTGTCCACTTAGTGTTCAAACTTTTCACATATAAATGCTTATATACCTTTATCGGCCATCTTGTATCCCCCACTGTGTCCAGCCTTTGTTGGAACTTCAACTTACTGATCGCCTCTCTAACCTTGAGCAATGCCCCTTCATTTGGCATATGCGCCTCCAGTTCTAGTTTGCCTACGCTCCTCTGCTGGATCTCTAAGCTCTACTGGAACTCAGATTTCATGTATAATACCCCTTTGCCAAAAGTCAACCCCGTATTCCCCTAGCAACTTCATATATCTTGTAATACCATAGTGCCCTATGCTTCATAATTGCTGCATTCCTTTTTCCTTTCTTTAGCATATTTTCTTCCTGTTCTAAGTGTTGTTATCCCTCATTCATTCCTACTCCGAGATATATCTACATGTTCTATTAAAACGTCTCGGATTTTCGGTGGGTCCCCCTTCTCATCATTACAAACCATTATTCCCGACTTGTTGCTACTGGGTTTTAGGCTCAGAGAGTCTCCTTCCTTGCTTACAGATCCTTATCAAATCCTGTAATCTATCTCAGCTATCTGCATGCTAACAGTACAACGTCGTCTGCGTAGAACATTCCTGGTATAACTTGATTTACTTTTTCCCCTCTCTTAACATATGACACATGCATCAAAGCCTAAGTTGCACTCTTCTAATTTATTTTCCATTCTACTCAAGTATATCATAAAAAGCAGAGGCAATAGGTGACAACCCTGACTGAATCCTCTTTTTATTTCTGCTTCCCGTGTTATAACAACCTTATTATTGGTGTACACCTATTGTAAAAGCCAAATCAAATGTGCATCTAAATCATACTCTCTCAGCTGTACACACAGTTTTTCCTAACTCATATTGTCGTATGCCCCTTTAATGTCTAGAAATGCTATCCATAACATTTTTTTTCTCATCTGTGCCACCTCCATACATTGATTGATGATGAATAAGCTACCATCACTGTGTGTGTGGTTCCTCGTGTGTGGTCAATGAAGAATGGAACCCTTCCGTTTTTCTCCCCTGTGCATTAATGTGCCCCCAGAGCCTTTTTGCTGCATTCCTATCATTTTGATTTACCTCCGTCGTGCACTGCACTCCAGCTCTACGAATCTTGGCCTGGATTAGAGCAGGTGCCTCTCTTTTTCTTTCCTGGAATGTATCCCATTTCGGTGCTACCTCAGCGGGTGTGTCCCCCCTCCTTTCCTCGCCCATCTGTGTTCCCTCGAAGCCTCTTGTCACCCTGCTATGGCCACCTTAACTTCACTGTCCATCAGCTTTTTGGTGTGTGTTTCCTTCTGCTTCTTCCTCTTTGTTTGATTTTGAACTTCCCTAATTCTCTTCTAAAAGTGTTCACTAAATCGTCATATGTCCATTCTCTCTCCAGCTGTCGGGATGCTATAGTCTCAATTCGTTCTGATACTTCTTGTAATTCAATGTCGTTTAGGGTCGATATACTTTCTCGTACAATAATTTGTGTTCCTCGTTCTGCTGTACCAAACTTTATTTGAGTCGCTAATGATCACTCCTTAAGCTTTTTGTGCCACCCTCATCTCTTTCCATGTGCCCTAATCTGTTATACAATTTGCTTGACATTAGACTTACAGTATCAATTGTTGAATGCAAATCGTTTCTCTCCCACGTTATTCTTCCGTCGCATTTTAATTGGGCATTAGCAAGCACTAGATCCAAGAGCATCGCAGAATCCTTGTAGCATCGTCCCTGTTGAATCTGTATATCCGTCAGTCTTCTAAGTGTGCATTCGTGTCTCCTAAAAGAATTACTTCCCGATTAGTGCCAATTTCTCCAACATCTCTGGAAATACATGTCAAGTACTGCGCATCCCAATCCACCTCCTTTCCGTTCCCTTTCGCATTGATTGCATTCCCCCCCCATAAATAACCTGCCAAGTAGGTGATTCCTCCATATCTCTAAGATGCGTCTCTGCCAATCCATATGCTACAAAATCTTCATTGTTTAATTGTTCCGCAATCTCTTCCCGCTTCATTTTATTTTTAACCTTCTACATGTTTATATCCTATATTGAGCTGCTTCTTTTTCCTTCTTATGCGAGGCTTCCTCTTACCCTTCCTATTTGCATTTGTACTCTCAGCTACCTTAGGGTTCTGGGGGTCCTAAAAAGGCCCTAGAGCCCATCCTCCGCCCCACCCGCATCCCCGTCTGTTCCCCATAGTGGATGCCATCTCGGCTGTGCGGGGGGTTCGGACTTTCCTGGTATACCTCCCTATTCACATTCATGACCTCATGTCCATTAGAGCTCAGTCTCTTAATGGTCCTCTTATGGGACTAACTTGGGCAGTGTTGCCCGGTCGCTAGATGGAAATGATCAGAATTCGTAAATTGATTATTGCAATTACTAGATGTACTACTAATTCGCCTATGGGCATTCGATTTCAAGAATAATCTACCCGCCGTTTAATTTTCGTATCCTAACCCCTTTAACTAGTTTGTCAGAAAATTTCAGTTCAGGACACCACCGAATAAAATCTTTAGACTTTCAAAATGTCAAACGATGCATTTTTTCGTACGACATTTCCTGCCAAAAAGTGAAACTGAGAAAAATGCAGTTGAAGTTTCAACTTTAGGTTTCTTTATCTTATATGAGTCCCAGGTGCACAAAATTCACCTGAAGCATTGTTATACCACTCCCTTTGAGACTGTTGTTCCCCTGGCAATAGCTACCGACTTGTGTCGTTTGTAGGCGAGCTAGCTTTTGTAGCAGGCACTCCTTGACAAATAAACCGACAAGAACTGAGAGGCAAATTGTTCTAAGAAAGAGCAGCAAAGCAGGAAAATGATCTGAAGTGAAAGATATTGTCAAAGGGTGTTACTGAAGATGGCACAAAATCACGTCATTGGGCAGGGCCAATCATGAGCCCTGTTTTGCGTCTCAACCAACAAGATTGCTCATATGTACCAAATTTTCAGGATTTTTTTGTTTGGATGTATAGGGTCCTCCTGGTCATTCATACTTTTAAACTTGGAAAGCTTCTACGGCCTAAATCTAGAGTAAATGGCGCTTCCAATGAGGGTGAGATATTCCGGCTATATTAAGCGAGGATAAAGAAGTGCTAAATAAAAAACGCAACAACTTGCTCCCTGCTAACTTAAAGGCGGGGGGGGGGGGGGGGGGGGGGGGGGCGGGGCGGCATGCCGAAAATAATTTATTGCGAGATGAATCCTACATGTTTATAAATGAAAGTGCCTAAAACCATTCTTTGGAAGTTATTAAACATGAACATATAATTAAAAAAACATCTTCTGAAATTTTTGAATTTTGAAGCCATGTCCCTCCTTAAAGGGATACTGAACCGAAATTTCGAGCTCACTAAACAAGGCCGGGCGGATAGGCGGGAAACTGCGAAACCCAAAAATATCACTCGTACGGGGATATATCTAACGGATCGCCGTATTTTTTTGGAAAAGAAGTGCGCGATTGAACCCGGCCGACGAGACATTGCACGTCACGATTCCCATTCTCTCTCTTCCTCGCTACGTCCCGTCAAGCTGGTGAACCGAAGCGAGGAGGAGAGAAGCGAAGTTGCTTCTCCTCATTCTCAAATTCTCCCAGAGGACAGTTACGTCAAAGAACTCGCTTGATCGCGCCCTTCTTTTCCAAAAGTACGGCCATCCGTTTGAGATATAGATGTACGAGTGATGTTTTGGAGTTCGTAGCGTCCGGTTCAACACTTCTGCAGCCTTACTTTGCAAAATCCAAATTTCAGTTCAGTATCCCTTTAAGTTCTTTATGAGATAAAAAAGAAGTAATTATACATCTACGCACTACTCACCCCTAAGCTGGCAGTACGGTGGAAGCTACGTGCTCACTGAACCTTTTGCCAAGTGATCATGCTTCTGCTCATACCCACGCGCAGAGAGCGGGGTCAGTCGATGAAAAGGAGGCGGTCGAATGGCAGGAGCGTAGCTCCCACCGTACTGTCAGCTTAGGGGTGAATGGAGTGTAAGGAAGAACATAATAACGATAAACTCGAATCATTTACAGTCTTTCAAACACACTTTCTCTCACATCTGTGGCTCTGGTAGTGTTTTATCTTTCTCTACGTGTACGGACTCGCGTCGGCTACATATGTTGCCTCGTGCCTGCGGCTTACAGCGACCCTTGAGCCGACGTATCGGCAGCTCCAGTCGATGCGTCTGGACAAGTCTCCCTTTGTGATGACCTCTGTGATCGGTCAAGAGCTACTGGCCACGGGGCAGCACTCTGCTGCCGTGGTGCTCCTGGAGACAGCGCTGCACATCGGGACGTGCAGCCTCAAGCTCAGGGGCTCGGTGTTCTCGGCGCTCAGCTCGGCCTACTGGGCTCTGAACAGCCTGGACAGGGCCATCGCCTACATGCAGCAGGACCTGGCCGTTGCAAAGTCCCTCAGTGAGTTGGCCACACCTTTGCTTCTGTCTCCAGAGTCCTCTGTCGTGCAAACTTCCTGAAACGTTTTTTTAAGGCGGGTTTGCTTTAAAAAAAAAAGCCTCAAAATGCATTTTGTCAGGGTTACCTATATGGCCGGATGGTTCCAATAAGAAACTTGCTGTGGGTCGTCGGAAACCACTAAAATAAATTCTAGAAAGATCCGGGCCATGTAGGAAGCACGGTGTTGCGCTAAAGTTGCCACTCGTGTGGCAGATGTGAGGCTAGTGGCGTGAAAAGGCAGTTTTTCTGTCTTTTATGAGCTCTGAGCGCGGCCCCCTACCTCAAGTGGACCTTCTTAAACAGGGGTTTCTTTCAATCTTGCCAACTTGAGTTTACTGATGATGTCTGCTGTATGACCGATTAAATTGCCATACTTGTTATGTAGTTTGATTCATCATGATGGTGAGTCTCGTCTTCTGGAACTATTTTGCATTTATCGTTTGCGTTTCCATACTGCCGGGGTTGTGCCCGTTGCGCAAGCGGTAGCTAGAGTGCACCACTGTGCTTCCCAGAAGCCTCAAATGTTTCTAAAATTGATTTATTTAATGACTTTGGAGGATGCTTAGCAAGTTTCTAATTGAACCCTTATTTTCGCTAATTAAAAAGTTGATTGACAAATTTTAGTTACAGTAATTACCTGACTTATCGCGATGGTCCTGTATTATGTCCCCCCTGGCTGCATAACTCATTTGCACAGACTTCATTGGTGTAGCTTTCACGGCCTTTTTAAAACAAAACTGTAAAGCCTAAAAAAAAACAAAAAAACCTGTATACTGAATGACAGGGAAGAGCTGATGGTTGAATCCACGCTTTGGGACGCCGAGCGTGGCGCTTGTTAAAAGAATTTCAACGGATTCCTGTCATTCCTCCGTGTCTCTGAGTCGTTCCGTAAGCCCTCCTCGGGTACACACGGTACATGCAAGAGACGTTTGAAAGAACCGGTTTCGACTGTGGTGCCTAGCTGCAACGCATCTCTGACTAGCGTGGTTACCGCATCCTCATTTCTGGTTTGTTGATCTCTGGCCGACGGCGTTACAGTCGCGTTGCCGTGGACCTGGCATGGCAACGAACGTGGACGCGGCAATGTAATTTGTGGTTACTCAAGGACCACCTCGAACGCACCAGTCGGAGCTGCATTCCAAGCAGCTTAGTTCCGACCGACCCCTTTCTGAGTCGGAGCGTGCAACGCCGCCTTGCAGACGACCAGGCGGGGGAGTGCCGGGCGCACGGCAACCTGGGCTCCGCGCACTTCTCCAAGGGCAGCTACAAGGAGGCACTGTCGAGCCACCGCTATCAGCTGGTGCTGGCCATGAAGTGCAAGGACAGCCAGGCGGCCGCCCTTGCCCTTACCAGCCTCGGCCACGTCTACACCGCCGTGGGGGACTACCCCAACGCCCTGGCCAGCCACAAGCAGTGCGTGCAGCTCGTCAGGCAGATGGGCGACCGGCTGCAAGAGGCACGCGAGGTGAGTCCCCTTCCCGGCACGTTCGGCGGCCTCTTTTCGCCCGACGCCCAACGAGGGAGGCGTCGGATCACCGGCGATGGGCTGGGGATTCGTTCGGGTGTCGTTCGATCCTCGAACCCTCAAACTTTAAGTAGGCTGCACCAGAGTAACGGTCGTGCCGTAAAATTCCGAGCAAGTGCTCGCCCAAAAGTTGGACATAATCTGGAAAAATTGGGGGATTGGCACCTGTTATTCTTCGATTGAGTCCGGTGGAGCTGATCAAGCGGCTCCAAAAGAGCATCGTCACGGCTGTGGTGTCCTAAGACAGACACGCAATGAAACATGCGCCAATTATCGTTTGCCTAAATGCCGACGTAACGCAAACAAACACGGCCTCTAGGTCAGGACAGGTTCGAGCACAAAATAAGGAAACGCATCTTTTTATTGCAGTAAGCACTCCCCCTTTTCGTTGTTCAGGCCACATCGATAAACATCAAAATGTTATTTTTGAGGAAAGATGTCATTTATTTCAAGTTTCAGCCAATATTTTGTTATAGAATGACAATGCTAGAGTTATTATCACAAATGAATGCACTTAGTTCATCCCACTTAGACATGACAATGCATATAGTAAATATAACAATGTAGTGATCCCTCATTCTAATGAAATCGCTTTTTTCGAATTATCACTTTAATCGAAATTCAACGTGGTCCCGACCCAAATGCACGCATTTTGGACTGGATTATTTTAAGTGTATCGACAGCCGACCACGCTTATTACAAAGGCCGAGGTGCCGAAAGCATGCAAGCCTACACGGAGGTACACGGACACCTTTGCGTTCCCTTCCCTACTGTGGCAAACAGCAAACTGGGAAAACGGCAAACAAGTAAATGGAAGAAACGGGTGACGGAGGGCCGAGTGCCGACGCGAGCAGGTAGCAGCGGGAGCAGCGTCCACGTTTTGACGCTACTCATGTCTCCCGCGGCCGACGCTGCCCGACCCCTGTCGGAATCGGATCAAGGGAGCGATGGAGCCCCGAGGAGATCACCCCTTCGGAAGCTCCCAACACACGCGCTTGCGGCATACACGCAGTTTACACATACTTTGTATGGGAGAGTGGGAGTGTTTATGTTTACCGAAAGTCGTTTAGATCTGCGAGGTTCAGAAAAGTGACTGTCCCAAGTCCGAAATCGCCAAAGAATCCGACATTGTGGCATCGGCTGTTCGACACTGTCCACCATTTCTCAGAACAAGCGCGGCATACTGATCGGGTTGTGGAAGTTTCTCAGGCAAGAAAAAGCGCACCCGCGACCCGAACCTGAAAAATCGCCAATTGCTCTGCGCACGTCGGGTTTTCTCGCGAGGATGCTTACCGAGCCAGCGCACGATTCCCAGAGCTGCAACGATCTCTTTAAAAGTGTGTGCAAGCAAACATGTTGGCGAAGCCACGGATGATAACATTGATTCGTTTGCGCTTGTCGATGCGGACGTTCCCGTTGTTGCTCCTGCCACAGATGGTGCAATGGTAGACCTTGCGTGCGGCCAGGGTAAACACGAAGCGACGTCGGAGAGGCACCTCGGGAAACACGGACGACTGCGGAGACACGAAATGTCCTACGGCTGCTTCGAAACAAAGTGGAGTGCAGCGGCAATGTTAGTGTTCTTGTGATGCCTGGAGCAGTTCGAGAAAAACTGATGTCTGGATGAAACTATCGGCAAACTCCACTTAATTATTTTTTTACTCAGTAAAGTTGCCGCTAGTTGTTCATAACCAAGGTTTGTTTGATTAATTATACGGTCGGAGTATCCCAAGTGTACCCATCCACCTTAAAAGCTGCTGTCGCTGTTTTTGTTTTTTTGGCTCTCGTTTTTATTGAAATATTGCTATAAAACTATAAAATTTTCTTGCTGTCCCGTTGACTTTGTTATAGCGAGGGATTACTATAGTTAGAACATTTTAACTGCTTTGCTTGCACAGCTGGGCAAAGGGGAGTGATGTTAAGAATCTTGTGCTCTCTAGAGACTTCAATAACAGAGTTCGAAGTAACATCATATTTATAACACTTATTGATGTGCAGCTTATCAAAGTGGATTTCGAACGTTCCATTCTGAGATCAAGTGAACAAAAAGAGTTTATTTCAAGCGAAGCAGACAGACTCCGATAAGTCTTCCCTTATGGCAGTGTTTCTCAACCACTGATGTTTTGCGGAGGACCCCTTCATGGTGAGAGGAGAGGAAAGGTATAGGTTAAACATAATAAGGATTTAATAAATGAATATAACTAAGGGATAGTGTGAAGTAGACCTCTCTTATTGACATACACACGAGAAAACTCGCCCGAAAACTGAAACATTTCATTTCGACCTGAAAAAAGACAACTTTTATTGCGGGCGTGAGTGATGAGGCAGGGCTTCGCGGACCCCTAGAACGCCTTCGCGGACCCCAAAGGGTCCGTGGACCCCCATTTGAGAGCCACCAGCTGCCTTACGGCATACTCAGAATCCTTTAGTTTAAAGCCCAAAAACTGCAACTTCCCACTGTCAACAGCAATGTTGACGTGACTTCTTTTTCCTTGCGCGCAGTGAGGAACAAGGTTTAGAATGGTGATAAAGTTTGTGGATTCCGGCATTTCTTGTTTCATTCCGCGGCCATCTTGACGGTCATCGGGCTTGCGCTTCGATCTGCATATTGAAGCAAAGTGTCCTAACTTGGTGCAGTTGTGAGACCGCTGATTTTTGGCCGGGTATTTCTTCGCATTCGCAAGGTGTGCAGTTGAACCGCAGTGGTAACATGACATCGTTGATGCTGACGCTCTGCCGGTACTTGCATCGCTTGCGTCGCTTCTGCTCGAAGGCTTGTCCACCACTCACTACACGACAGGGTCTCCAACAAACTCCTTAGTTCCCGTTTCGTTTGTCCAATGTGCCGACCAACTTTGAGCGCACTACTGGGGGTAAGGTTCATACCCCGAAAAAGTAGATGCTCGTGTATTTGTCAAGATGCTGCCCGCTCTAACAGCTGGTTACGTACAGCCTTGTCAGCTTCTTCGCCGAAGTTGCGACACGAAGGTAGCTCACGCAGGGTGGCAGCGTAAGCTTCAAATGCATCAGCTGACATTTTACGACGCCGACGAAAACGCTGACGCCATCAGCTCGTTGGTTGCCATTGAAAAACACTTGTCCAGCACCGCAAGTGCCTCTTCAAAGACGTCATCACCCTTCTTGGCGTCTCCCTCTCGCGTTTTGTTGTTGCTAGACTGTGCCATCTGAGCCAGTGCCATGCTGATCCGTTGTCCCTCCAGGCCCAGTGCGTTAAGTACGGTAGCAGGGCCGTACCCAGAAAAAAATTTCGGGGGGGGGGGGGGGGGGGGGGGGGTTTTCGGGGACAACGGCGGCCATTTCGAAAATGTCTATTGTCTTATTTTTGCCTATGAATCATGTGCATTGGTGGCATATAATGGAGAGTTGTAGCAAACCGAAGAACCGGTCCCGGTTTGATACCCGGTAGCCGACCGGTGCCACTGCGCGTGCGCAGAGGTGGAGATTAAAATCGGCTGGCTGCAAGTGCACCGACCAGGGCCATACCCAGAAAAAAATTTCGGGGGGGGGGGGTCAGAACCTGGTTACGGCCCTGTTGAGTAGGATAACCTTCCTGCGCTTCGGGGCGAGGTCGTTGCCACCAACGGCTTCCAAGAAGTTGAGGAAGGCAGGCTTCCTCTGCCACCACGGAATGGGGGTGGAGACGGACTGAAGTTAAACAAGATGGCTGACCACCGGTCACAGGCGGAGTGAAAAGGCGGAACGGCATAGCTAACGTGACTGCTTAATCCTCATCGCCATTATTTGGTGTCCTAGGACGGACACGCGAACAAAATCTAACTGCTCCAAGTAGTTGGTGAACAAAGAGTCTGGTTTTGTACAGAATGACATCTTTTATAGCGAATGCTGTCGCACAGGGTGGCTGGATGACGTGAACAATAACAACATGGTTTGCAACATAAAACAAGAACACAACAATGGCGCTCGTCATCTTTGTGCATCTGACCGGCTAAACAGAGACACATAGTGAATGTGGCGTGATCCTGAATTTTCTAATGCGTTAACATTAGAGCCTTGGTAGACGCACTGACCTTGGAGGTGTGAAGTGTGTTAGGAGAAGCACGTAGTTGCATGCCTCGCCACAAGATGGCGCCACGGCGGCATCGCGAGGACGCCTTCCGCGGGACTCGGAGAGAGGGCGCGCGGGATGCGCGGCTGTGGGGGGGACTCGGCGGACGAAGGGAGAGCGAGGGACGAAGGACGGGAGCGGTGCAGGGTGATGCCTCGAGTGCTCGGGAATAAAGGAGTTCCGGTTATGAGAGTCCCTTTGTTCTGAAACCGCAAGCGATCTAGCGTGGAAGCTCGCTGGGCCCTGACAAGTGGAGGCTCGTCCTCTGAACCCGAACTACCCTGCTAGACCAATGGCAAGTCCTGCGAAGCAGTTTTACGTCCTCATCTCGCCAGCGCGCCGACATGAGCACGAACAACGTGGTCAGCGAACTGCTGGCCCAGACGGACGGCAGTGCCATGGACCGGGAGCGATTGTCTTCGTGTGTGCGTGACGTGCTCCTGAACACACCGTTACAACAGGACACCGAGGCGCGCACGCAGGAGCCGACGCCTTGGAAGTGCGGTAACATCCAGTTGCCGAAATTCATCGGCTATGAGGACAGGCAGAGCCCGACGGACTTCCTCGACAAGTTCGAGAATTTCTGCCTGGTTACGGGCGTTCCGGACAGCAAGCGCGTCCGACAGGTCCTTCTGGCCGCACTGGAGGGCACAGCGAAGCTTTGGTGGCGCTTTGCGGGAGGCTTTGAAGACTGGGAGACTTTCGTGAAGGAGTTCCACGCCGAGTTTGCGTCTGTCGATTACAAGCATCGGCTGAAGGAAGAACTCGACCGACGCACACAGCACCCGCAGGAAAACTTGCGCCACTTCATCCACGTCATTGCCGAATTCTACGACAGGATCGGCGAGACAGT